CACACACACACACACACATGCATGCATGCATACATACATACATACATATATATATATTTATGTATATATATATATGTATATATATATATATATATGTATGAAGCGTTTAGAAAGTGTCGATGAGTGACAATATTTATCTGGATATTTCATGACCTGCACTAATGGGTTAATTTAATGTTGATTTTATTTATCAATTATCTAGTTATGTGATTTTGTGAATTTGCCACTGTAAACATACTGCCTAGTGCGGTTTTACGACCTCAGTACAGCCACTAAATATTCATTGATTTCTACAGTGCAGTTTTTTCAGCTGACAAATAGAATGCACAAAATAGATTTAGACATTTTTTTTTGTGAGTCACTTTGAAAAGTAAGTAAAACTAAGCTGTTTTTCAACTAGTTAAAACTGAAAGTTATTTTGACTGAATGGTACAGAAGGATGAGTCTTCTCATGACCTTTGACCCCAAAAGATAGCATCTAAGTGTTTAAGGAATGGCATGTCTGAAAGGAAACCCTGTCAAAAAGGATGTTTTCAGAAAATACAAAAATAAGTGACTTACAACTTTTTCACTGCTTCCATAATTTCAGGCAAAGTGTAACTAAAGGTGACATAAGATTAAGTAGTCAAAAATCTGAAATCATTACCATTATCAACCATTTCCTGCCTAGCATTTGTAGATGGGTAGTGACTTCTGACCTAGTGACAGTTGACAAGGCCCAGAATCCCTTGGGTTAGATAAACAAAGCCAGAGATGTATACATAGTTTAACCTCCTTGACAACACTCACACAGAATGCAAATATTCCACTAAAGTGAACTAGCAAGGAGTTGTGTTACAGAGTGGCTCAATACATAATATTGTTGACTCATGTTTGAAAAACAAACCTATAATTAGTGAGATTGACTTTAAATACATGATCGTTTATTTCAAAACATGAGGACTTGCAACACCATACATTGCTCCTTTTGAGCATATCTTTCTTTATTAGATTTATACAGTTATAAGAGCACCCTCGCAGGAAGTGTATCATTAAGTAAATGGTCCTTTTTTTGCTGTAGGTTATGGGATTCTGTTTATAATTAAATTCATTCATCAGTTCATTAACTTTCTTCCACTTATACAATGTTGGATTGTGGTAACAGCAGACCGAAGGTTACCCACCCATCCCTCTCACGATGAATATTTTCAGCACTTTCTGTGGGTGTTCTGTGAGTTTACCAGTCAATCTCTATCGAGTTTGACATGCCCCCAAAAAACAATGATGGAAGTCTTTCATCTGGGATCTGCAACGGATGCCCACAGCTACTTTGAGCTCCTTCTGGGTGTCTGAGCTTCTCACACTGTTTCTGTATGGGCTACATTGCAAAGTCACTTTTTTGGTCACTACCAAAGCAACGGTAAAGTAGCTTCTAACCTTAGTGTAGCTCAAACTTTGGTCTCACTTATGGGCATGGCAAAGTTTGGAGATTCACCTGAATTCTTATTAGGGATGGACCAATCTGATATAGAGTATCTGTCCGATCCTGACCTAAATTACTGGATCGGATATTGGGGATATTGCTTTCACACTGAAAGCACCTGGAGCCTCGCTACGTGCTGCCAAACCAGCGTTACATCTCCATGCAAGCTATCCCAGAGAAGTAAAGCAAGTGTTTAAGTTCATCTCTGAATGTTTTTAAAACATTCTGATGTTAAGCTTAACAACCGATATATGGAGCTCGGAGGTCTGTGCGTTGTTGTTGCTAAGTCTGACCATACAATGGATAGACTCAAGTTATACTTTGAAAAAAAATGTGTTGCAGGCTAAACAGTTTTGTGGTTCAGGAAAAAAAAACTATGAAAAACACTTTTTTTTCATACTTGTGTTAAGTTTTGTATAGAAATTACACAAAATTCAGTCTCAGGTTAAATGTGATAGAAACAGCTTACACTGACATCCATCTTGATAAAAGATGAGTGTCATGAAGCTGTTTTCTCATTTATTTGCACTGTTTTCCACTCTGGATGTCTATTTATGTTAAGCTTTAAGTATAAAAGGGTCCAGTCTACAACTTGTTTTTTTTGAACTTGTTGAATATAAACATTTTGTGCTGATATTGCACTTCTTTTTTCAGAACCAAAGACTTTTTGAAATCAGTATAAAATTGCATTTTAAATTACTTTTTAAATACTAAGATTTAAAGTTCTCCTAAAGGTTTAAATAAAAAGATCAGTATTGCTGCAAAATATTTTGGGTGCAGTGTATTTTTGCATACGTGTTTTGTCTCTTTAAGCTTGAGTAAACAAAATGCAGCAAGATATTAAAAAAAAACAAAAAAAAACAAAACATTTTTATTGATTATAAAATAGACTATATCGGATTCATATCGGTATTGGCAGATATCCAATTTCATGATATCGGTATCAGTGTCGGACATAAAAAAAAAGTGGTATTGTGCCATTTCTA